AGGGAAGAAAATTGTAATTTATGGAATAACACACATTTTTCATTTGGTTTGTAAAACATTTGCCAGGTGTTTACAGCAGCAGCTTCTGATGAGCATAAAAGCATTGTACTTTTGGCGTTTGAAATAATCGAGAAGATAGTGCGAGATTATTTCCCGTATATCACGGAGACTGAAACAACAACTTTCACAGATTGTGTAAATTGTTTAATTGCATTCACAAACAATCGATCCGATAAAGATATCAGTCTGAGTGCTATAAGTTTCTTGCGCTTCTGTGCTGCTAAACTTGCTGAAGGAGATCTTGGATCCTCTTCAGCGTATGAGGAGGAGAAGGAAGCTTCTGAAAAGATTGCCCTTGCCCCTTCGCCACGTCAGCAAGGAAAAGAGTTGCCAGACAAGGACGATCATCTTTACTTCTGGTTTCCGTTATTGGCTGGTGAGAAAATTAATTAATAATTGGTGTGGGTGATTTTTTAATAAATTTATTTTTTATTTGATCAGGATTATCCGAGCTAAGTTTTGACCCTCGACCCGAGATCAGAAAAAGTGCACTCCAAGTACTGTTTGACACCTTACGAAACTACGGCCATCACTTCTCTCTACCATTATGGGAACGTGTCTTTGACTCCGCCCTCTTCCCCATCTTTGACTATGTCCGTCATGCTTCCGATCATGATCATGATCATTCCTCACTCCACCCACCACCCACCGGTGCTGCTGACGTGGACGAATATGAACTCGATCAAGACTCATGGCTATACGAAACATGCACACTCGCCCTCCAATTGGTCATGGATCTTTTTGTCAATTTCTACGACACCGTGAATCCCCTTTTGGAAAAGATTCTTTCGTTGTTGGTGAGTTTCATCAAGCGGCCCCACCAAAGCCTTGCGGGTATTGGTATTGCTGCTTTTGTCCGTTTGATGAGTAGTGCTGGGGAGTTTTTCACGGATGATAAATGGGTTGAAGTGGTTTTGGCTCTTGAACAAGCTGCTAATCAAACACTTCCTGATTTCTTCATTATTCTTGATAAAGATGGATTGGAGTTGAAATATAAACAAGAAGATGTTTCAGTGGGAGAAACTCAGGATGACGACCACCTCCCCAAAGATCGGCTTTATGCTGCTATTTCTGATGCCAAGTGTCATGCTGCGGTTCAACTTCTATTAATCCAGGTATTTTTATATAGTTTTGAATGTTTACCAGTTTTATTTGTTTGTGTATAATATATAAATAAATGTATTTGACTTGACAAATGACAAATGACAAATGACAGGCAATAACAGAGATCTACAACATGTATAGACATCACCTGTCAACAAGCAACACCATAACCTTGTTTGATGCAGTTCACAAAGTAGCAACACATGCCCACACCATAAACACCAACACCGCATTACGCTCAAGTTTACAAGACCTGGCCCACATAACCCAAATGCAAGACCCACCGTTGCTCCGTCTGGAAAACGAATCCTACCAAATCTGCCTGAATCTAATCCAAAATCTCACACTCGATAAACCACCCTTTTACAATGAATCAAAGGTCGAGTCATCTCTCGTTTCCCTTTGCCAAGAAGTGCTTCAATTCTATATCGAATTAGCACTTCCAAGACAAATGACGGATTCGCCCCTCACCACCCCTAGGTGGTTGATTCCATTGGGGTCAGGAAAGAAACGAGAGCTTGCAGCTCGTGGGCCTCTGATTGTTGTGACTTTGAAGACTATTTGTAGTTTGGGTGATTCGGCATTTGAGAAATATCTTGGGGGATATTTTCCGTTGATTTCGAGCTTGATAAAATGTGAACATGGGTCGACTGATGTTCAGGTGGCTCTGAGTGAGATGTTGAGGTCTTCGGTTGGGCCTGTTTTGATGCGTTCCTGTTGATAGTATTTGATATATGATATTTTCAAATTTCAAATTGTGTGTAATATTGTGATATTCTTCATGGCACTTTTTTATTATTATTAGTTGTAGTCTGGAAAGTTGGCTTCTTTTAGGAATTAATACGTCTGTCTGTCTGTCTGATAAGGAAAGGAATTTTGTTGTATCTTTCTTGGCTATGGATTCCACCATGTTGTAACATGCGTATATTGCATTTTTTTTTAGTTTGATATAGAAATGAAGACTCCTTGTAACAGAGTTTATGCACGGCATGACGGAACTAACTTGTATTGGAATGGGACTGTAACTGTAACATAACTATGTGGCTTGTCGGGACAATAATTGTATTTTTTGTTCCCATGGACAATACATGGTGTGCATATTTGGTTCCTAGTTTAAATCAAACATATTAGTCCATATATAACCTGACGTATATGTAGAAAAACTATGACAACGGGGATCCTTAGTTGTTGGATATTGAATTGGCAGAACCGGAGGTTTTGCCTGTTTTGTGCTCCTTTGTGGACGTCCACGTGTATTTTTACGAACAACCGGATCAGCAACCGTAATTGATTATGACATGAAAATATCCCTTAGTTTTCGCACATAAGTGAACTTCCCATCTTTAGATTGTTTAGCGAAGCTTTTTTATACATTTCAACTTCTTCTTCACAATGCGGTTCATCATCTTCATTGCTTGGCAATACCGAGTTTAAATCAAGCTTCCTCCAAAATGGTTCAATTGACTCCAATGGTATCCATTGGCCTGTATTAGAATAGATTACAATTTCATGGGCACAAGGTAACCCACAACTATGACACAGTTGATAGTCACAGTCGGCCTCAACAATTCAGAATTGGATGTCAGGTCGATCAAGTTCTTCTCTTATTTTTTGTAAAGCATGATGTGAAACTTTATCCAACAACTCTTTGAAAAGGTATAGTGTAACACTTGGAAATGAATATGTTCCTAGTTGCCCTTTGTAATTAAAAGAATTGCAAATTTGACCATTGTGAGTAGTAAGCGGGGCGTACAAAAGGGTACGCTTAGCGTACTAGCTGAGAAGCTAGTATGCGGGACGTACCTCATGTGTACGCTTAGCGTACTAATGGTAGATGGTCGCGGGTCCGAAGCCTCGTACGCTCGGGGTACGAGGAGTACGCATGGCGTACGAGGGGGGATAAGAAAACCCTATTTTCGGGATTGTACCCTATTTAAGCCACAAGTGAGCCTCTTGTTGCATTGTTTAACCAGCCTCCTCACCCTAGAAAAACCCTAATTCGTTCCTTAGCCATTGTTTGGTGATTTTGATCTCTTTTGGAGCTTTTGTGGAGGGTTTTGTGTATCTAGAAGAAGAAGAAGAAGTTTTAAGATTTATTCTTTGGAGGAGGGCTTTGAGATCCAACTTAAGCACCCTATTTTGGTGGCTTGTGAGGTATAAAGTTCAAATCTTTCCATTTCATTTCTTAGATCTACTTCTTGGCATGATTTTAGTCATTTTGGTCCTTTTTGGTTGGTGAATGGGAGTTAAGGCCGTTTTTGGAGCTTAGCCTTATAGATCTGGACATATAAATTTGCTTTTATAGCGGTGTATTGTGACCTAACTGTTTATTCAATATGATCAAAAAATCTATCTAACATGGAGTGAGTTGAATCCAAGTATTTTTTTAGTTTGGAATGTCGACTCTCAACTCTGTTATTAGTGTGGTTGTAGAAGTATACAAGTCCGTCCATAATGATACACATATTTCCCTGAATTTATTCAACCAAATTCGATTGAGATGGTTTAGAACGACTGCAAAATAAAACAAGTACTATATTAGCATCGAACAATATAATATTATAGATATTTGTATTTGGAAGTAAATAATATCTGGATAACTAACAATATTGATTTAATGTAAGCATAATTATTCAAATATATTGTCATTGATGATGACCTAAGCAGATTCTCTCATGTTTGCTTAAATGATGGCCACATAGACTTTAAGGTTATCTTGTAGTGATTCTCTATATTTATGAATGTGTCATCTACAGTGTAACCGGTCGAATAAAGGAAATATATTTGCACATATATTCATCAAAGCTAACTCTCTATCTGTCAATTACATGTGGTCCATCATATCCACCCAATGTGGACTCAAGACAATTTAATGCCCAAGTATAATTTGATTCATTTTTTGTCTATAAGCACGAAAGTTATGAAAAATGTTGTGTTTGTTGAAGTGAAAGGGATATGATTTATATAATTTCAATGTAGTGATATCCGATTTTAATGTAACTGATATAAGGACATGGATGTTACATTGTTAGAGATTCAATTTATGGACGTTGATATATGAAGACTCGTATCACTATCACTATTTAGTGAGGACGTTCATGTATTGAAGAACCAACTTACTATTACTAAGGTCGTTATTATATGAGGACCCATATCACTATTACTATTTACCAATGACGTTTATATATTAAAGAGCCAACTTACTGTTACTAAGTTCGTTATTATATGAAGAGTCATAACTCTCTCTCTCTCTCTCTCTCTCTCTCTCTCTCTCTCTCTCGTTTAAAAAGATTTTTCCAAACCGTTTCACTTTTCAAGTATTTTATAAAAAATCAATCTATAATATTATAAAATCATCCAAATCACAAATCAAGTGGCGTAACATTAGACTAGCTAATTTGATTAAATTTAGAAAAACAAATAAAATATAGAACCATTATACAAAATATGTATGCTTGTGATTAAACAAACCTTTTTATTCATAACTGAAAAAATACTAATGTATGATAATCCTTTCCATCTATTTGACTAGAAATGCATATCTCAATCTCAATTATGTATAAATTTAAATAAATAATAATAAAAGAATATAATATATTACTTGTCATTTGTCAGCCAAACTCAACCCCTATAAGAGAATATTTACTATCCATTTCACCTACCATTCAAAGTAACCAAAACAAAAGCATCCATAAACATAAACAACTCAATTTCCCCTTCCACTCATCTTTGTACGAAAAAAAAAAAACAAAATGAAAATAATCATTTTTCGATCATAATTTAAGGAGTAGAAGAATACATTGTTACAAGGTACAAAATCAGAATGATTAATTCATTTACTGATCCTCGAGAATCTCTTTGTGAAGATGCATGCATGTTGTGGTGCAGTATTTATAATTATACCTATGAAATGGAACTTTACCAGCTAATGACACCTGGCAACAGGAACATAACATGTCTGATTCTGATGATGGAGTTGAAGATGATGTGGATTGAAGGGCAAGGGCTGCTATTCTCCTCTCGGCTGCAGCAGCTCTCTTCTCCCTCTCTTCATCTTGTGCTCGTTTTGCTTCTTCCTACAAATAATGTCAATAATAATCATTTTACATTTACGAATCTACCCTTCCGCACCTACATAAAATTACTAAAGTGCCACCTTCAATAAAAGGGAAGGATGGTAGGTACCTCTTTAGTCAACTTTGGTCTGCTGCTGGATTGTGATTGAGAATGAGATGATGAAGCTTTCTGTAATTCAGCAGCCTCTGCCTGCATTTTGGCACCCAAAAAAAAAAAAAAAAAAAAAAAACTTGTAAATATTTTTTCATTTATTTGTGTTTAGATGACATTGCTATAATGTTGTAACGGAAAAAAATGAAATTAAGATGCTGCAATAAACAAATCAACACAAGTATGTTATGTTGCTATTTCTTGTGTTTAAACCTAATTGAAATATCACAAGTCCATTCATATATATATATATATATATATATATATATATATATATATATA